TCGACTAATAAAAATTGCCTAATAAAATATATATAATCTAAATAAATTTAACTAATAAATTTGCTAATATAACACTATTCCCTCCTTGAAAAATTTTGCTCCACAAAATTATAAAAGATTTACCGTAGTGCAAACACAGTAATCATGACCCATCAGCAGAGTTTACCAGTCTGTCAGCAGGTATTGAACCTACGATTGCTGGCAACAGTCGCACATTATTACCACTCTACTATATTTGGTAATATTGTAAAAATTTTTGATTGTTCTATTTTTAAACAATAATATTACTATATATAGTCTAGTGATTTTCAAGGGCTTGAGTTTATGTATGATAAAGCAAAAAGAATAATTTTTTTTTTTTTTTTATATATACTAAATTTTAAATCTAAAAAGAAAGGTAAAAATAAATAATAATGATAATAATAAAATATAAATTTAACTAATATTCATAATAGTATAAAGATGCCACTACGATATCGAACTACTCGAGCTCGCAGAAGAAATGGCCAAAATGCTCTTTATAGAGCAATTGATATGCTCTAAAGTGAGAATCAAAAGTAATAATATAGATAATAATAATAAAATAATATGAATAATATATAATAATAATTGTAATTTTTAGATTGGCTCGTGAAAATACAAGATTAAAGAGAAGAGTTTCTGAGCTGGAAGGGTTGTTAGCAACAAGAGCCTTGCAGTTAGATGAGGCTTTACAAGCAAGAGTTCGAGAGTTAACGTTAGAGGTTGAGAATCAGCAGTTGTATTTGGAAGAGGAGATTAGAGAAAACTAAGAGTGTAATACCAATTATGCGCTTTTGGTTCGAGAAAGAAGTGCATTAAGGTTCGAATAGCAAACCTTGAGGTTTTGCTACACTTACCTCAAATTAAAATTTTTAATAAAAATTTTATAAATTTTCAATTATTTTGTTATATTGTTCTTCGGTTAATTTTTCTATTGTTGATACTGAGATAAATTTTGCTTTATAAAGTTGCTTGATTCCAACTTTATGATAAATATTATAAATACTTTCGCTTGACTTCCATCTTTTAGCTGATTTGTCTTTTCCAAGTCCTCTTGTAAGTTTCTTTCTGATTTCGTTAAGAAACTTTTTATCAACTTTATTCCTATTCCTTAGTTCACCTAAATAATAATCAGCTTCAAGTTTTGCGATTTGAGCATTTTTTCAATTTCTGTACTGATTAATTTTAGTTATGATTTTGTTCAATACCTCAAAATTATTATTGCTTTTAAATGGTGAACTAATTGTTTTATTGTTCTCTATTGAATGATTAAGATCTCTAATTATTTTATCAATAGTTGATGCTTCTTTGTGATTTTCTTTGTTAAGATTATTCAACAATTCGAAGTTATTTACTGCATCCTCTCCTTGGTAATAGGCTTCTATAAATGGATCTGTAATATTGCCTTGTAGTAACTCAGTCCAAAAGTTTTCCATTTTAAGTTATCAATTGTTTAAATATAAGGGAGATGGGGGTATTGTGGCGAAGGGGGGTATTGTGGCGAATTTGTAATATCTTGTGATCTGGTGATTCAAACTAGATAATTTTGGTACCATTCAATTCCTCTCAATTGAAGGATTCGAATGGTATAAAAATTACCCAGTTAGGAACACTAGGTCGCAAGATTTAAAAGGCAATGTGGCATTATGACGAATAGAGTATTATGACGAACCAACAATTATGCATTGTAACGAAGCACACACACTGAGCATTGTTAAAAAAAACTAGTAATAACATGTCATGGTTCTTTTTAAGCTAAAAACAAAAAAAAAAGTTTATCATAATTGAACTTGCATTGCATATTTAGTACTTTAGTTTGTATTAATTACTGAATCGTTGTTGAAATAATGCCCCGGGCCATTATTCGAGGCACACAATTTCTGGAACTAAGAATTGATTTAAGCAAAGATTTTATTGTTAATTATATTAATCAAAATAAACTCTTAGACCTCCAGAAATTGCGCATCTCAAAATAATACCCCGGGGCAACGATTTGTAAAATTAATAAATTAAACGCGTTTCGGGTGTTTAGATCTTTGACAATATTTATTTCGCACATTTTATAAAAGAATTATGTGTATTAAAATTATCCATTTATTGTATAGTAAAAGCAAACGCTGTTGTTTTATATCAAACTATTAAATTTTATCATTTATTGCATAGTAAAACGAACGTTTTGACTTAGTTATTTTACCACAATACCGTTATATTTTACAAGACTATATTGTAGCTTCGTAATACAGTATATTAAAGATGCCTCCAGTCTCTTATATTAATCGACGTAACGCTATTCGTGAGGCACTTGATGAATTAAATAATTACTCACCTAACTTTAAACGCCCAAGTGTCAATAGTGTTGCTAAAAGTTTTGGAATCGCAGAAACTACTCTTAGACGTGCCGTAAAAAATGGCAACCCTCCTAACCGTACAGGCCCATCGACTGTACTTACTGAGCATGAGGAGAATCAACTTGCAGGCTATTGTATTAATGTACAAAGGCTTGGGTTTGGCCTAACAAGAGGACTTGGAAAAGACAAATCAGCTAAAAGATGGAAGTCAAGCGAAAGAATTTATAATATTTATCATAAAGTTGGAATCAAGCAACTTTATAAAGCAAAATTTATTACAGTATCAACAATAGAAAAATTAACCGAAGAACAATATAACAAAATAATAGAAAAATTATAAAATTCTTATTAAAATTTTTAATTTGAGGTGATGTATAACAACACCTCCAGGTTCGCTATTCGAGACCTTAATGCACTTCTTTCTCGAACCAAAAGCACATAATTAGTATTATGCTCTTGGTTCTCTCTAATCTCCTCCAAATGGCAGGTCTAGAGTTCAAATTCCACTGGCGACGATTTTGAAAAATAAGATTTGTTTCGGTAACATTTATTCGACGATCAGTTGGGTGTACTATCTGTAATCTTGGTATCACCATCTTGAATGGGAGCTTTTGAGTGAAGTTGTGCGACATCACACAGACAAAGCCAAGGAACCAGAATAATTGAAACCCATTTGGAAAGACCCGAGCAAGGAAGTAGTGAAGA